TGGAGAGAGGAAAAAAAGTGCAAGCCAATATAGGGTATAATACAAAAGGAATGTATGGCCAAATAGGAACTATCAGATCTAAAGGCAAACATTTTGCATTCACTACTGTCTTTCTGTGAAATCACAATGAGTTTACATACTTCAAAGAACAAATTGTTTCTAAACTTAAAAAACAAATTTTATGAGTACAGTACCTGTTCATTCAAGCAGGGCATTTCCTAAGAAGGATGACTGCAATGCTCTGAGGTTGCACTTTAAAAACAAATAATTTATAAAGCTCTGAAGTGTTTTCATCTTTGCCAAAAAAGAGAACTCAAGAATCATGCTTCTCATCATTTTAACTAACGGTTACACAATCCCCCATGCATTCTGTAGGCTGCTTCCTGTAGCAGCAGGAAGTTACTACTATTGGATAGAGAAGAGAGAAGAGTTTTTAAAAAAGAAAAGAGAAGAAAGGAGGAAGAGAATGAGGAAGATGATTACGGGTAGAGAAGAAATTTGACAGTTCATAACGACCACAGTTCTCATTCCTTGGAGGTAGTGGCGATTCATTTATTCATGAATCATATGGTATGTGGTAAGCAGATATACAGTATTGTGCAATCAAAGTCTAATTGCCCAAAACTGGATACTACAAAATACTAGCTACCATTTCATAACATATCTCTGAAAATCTTCATGTCCTATCTATTGCAAGTCATTATGTACACAAACAAAAATTAAATCACTTAGAATGCCTAAAGGGAAGTCTTATTCAATCACAACCAAGGTCAACTTGCAATTGCCTGAACTGAAAGTAGTTAACTATTATTCGGAAAAAAAAACAATCATTAGAAGAGATTCCTTGCTGGCATTATTGCAGTTCTTCCAGGCATTTACTTCTGATAAGTTGCTAGAAATGATCAATGCAATTATGTTCTAACAATGCAGCACTGAAGTAGATTTAAAATCATGAGTTAGGATACCCCAAAGCTAATATTATATACACGGCTGCAGCTAGACATTTTCTAAAAAATAGAGATAGCTATCATTATTAGATATTTGCTAACAAAGTTTCACTTTAAATGCCTTAAAGTCGATCCCAATAATAATAATATCTTGTTTGTCAATGCCTCTTGTTTTCTTTTCTTCTTTAACACAAACATGGACATAATATTGACAAAAATCTGGCAAAAGGTTCCTTATACATGTACATTTAATATCTCTAAGATGCCTGAGTTTAAATTTATTAATAAAATGACTTAGATATTCTTTCCTTTTGCTGTAACCTTATCTTTTAGGTGAATATTCCATCCCACTAAAATAACGTCACAGCCTAATAACCAAAGCTATTCAGACTTTAATGCTCAGGAGCCATGGATTTCATGATGGGAAGATCATCTCCCAAAGTATACGATGATCCACTATCAGAAAAGATACATATCTGTAAATTTCTAATCTCGCAATATGCTGACTGCCTCAGTTCGGTGTGACAGTTAATCAGCATCTGAAGGGGCCTGATTAAAGGTCTATGGTAGAAAAAAATAAAACAATAAATAATAAAAAAATAAAACTATAAAGATTACATATATGATAACCTGTGAGTCAAATGCTATTTCTTGTCCTCAAAGATGAAGACTCGTACAACAGATACAAAAAGGAAGCCAGCAAGTCACTGTACATTTGTTACCAGCTTAACTAAACATGTAATAATCATGTATGAGGGCCATGAAAACCTACACAGCCCTTAAAAAGATTCTAGATGAGATTTCTGTCTGTAGTAATAGCTGCATGATACATACAGCTGCAGCACAAACTTATGGAACTTGTACTTACGATTAATTAGAAAAATATAAACAACCATATAGCACTCATGGGCAAGCCACACAAAATTGCTTTGAAAGTGTTTCAATCCTTCTAACCACTGCAAATCAAAAGTAAGACACATGTAACATCAGACACTGGCACTTTTAGTTAAACTAAACCTTTGCATCAGTCCCGTATGGAGGCCCTCCTTTGTACAGGTATTCAGTGTAATTCATGATCACACAGTAGACACATGAGTATGAAACACAATTAAGTAAAAATAAATTCTTGTGTTATTGAGAAAATAAACTTTTTAATAGTCGTGGCAGAAAATTAAATAATATCAACATATATTTTAAGTTAAATCACTGGTGAATACTAATGAACACTACTAATCAACATGGCCAAATATCATCCATTCGTACAGGTGTTACAAAAATATTCATTATCTATTTTGTATTATATTAACAATACCAAGAGTCATGGTAAAAGTTGTAATAATATTAATGTTGATTGTACTATGAATGATACAGTCAAGTAGTGACAACAAATCTGATAAGAACCATATAAAATAAAAAACAAATATTTCCAGTAATAAAACCTTCAATAAACATGCACAAATTGAGAAAAAGCTATGAGTAATATCATAATCAAAGGCAAATAATGTCTAATAATTGTGAAAAAAATAAAATAAAGAAAATCCTAATTTTGTGATATGTAATATCAAGTGTCAGCCAATAACGACAAGAACGGCAAGAGCAGCAGAAAATGACAGTTTCTGTCCTATGTAAGTAATTACATAAATATAACTGAAGTAGTAGGTGGAAGCAGCGCTGACTTGCATCTTTATCTCATACTGTGCTGGTTCCATCTGATACACAATCAAGACATCTCTAGCCTAGTGTACAAAAATAATTATTTTGACACCACAGCTCCTCGTCAAATTCCCTTGGGATATGTTTCCACATATGGAGTCCTGCATAACTTTTAATAACACGTTTCATTATTAATATTCAAAACAGACTTGTGACATGTAAAATACCCTAGCAAATCAAAAGTTTACAGACAAAGAACCCTCCCACCAGATATATACATAACAAAGAAAGGACTTTTGGTAAACTGTTTCAATGCCCTTCTTATAGACTATTTGTGATACTGGCTGCCAATACTGTTATGTCCCTCAGCCCTTTGGATACTAGACAATATCCAATAGTTTGTGACTCAATGCCCTTGGGTTAGGTACACTGATGATGCCTGAGATAACAGTCAAGCCTTGAAATTTACAACCTAAGTATACTCACTCATATTTCATTAATACCCTCTAATAATTCACTATCTAACATCAAGCTCATTTATGAGGTTTTTATTCATACACTTTTAACAACCTGACAATTTTGACATAAAATAATGTCAAGACTCGAATGTTTTTTTCAGACATTGTGCATTTAAAGCACCACTTGGCCTTACATTAGGCAAGAATGCTCTGAAGTGGTATTGTGGGTTACACAAACATGGCAACAAAATGATAAAAATCTATGTCCTTAGGAACAGCTGCAGATAAAGAGAGCAATTGTTTTAATATAAGAAATGGTATGCACAGTTATCATTCAGACTAAAGAACAAGTATTTACATACATATCTGAAAGTAACTATTAACTAAGTTACTACTGCATAAGATTTATAAGTTTAAGTAAAAAGAGTACATTATAAGAGGATACAATAATAAAGATACTGCATAGTATTCTACCATCACAAATATGGAATTCAATTTACAGAAAGAAAGACTAAATGCCCACAAAAGGCCAAGGTCATATTTGAAATCCAATGCTAAATTATGGGATTCATCACAGACAATTGGACAAGTGTAAAAGTTTCTTACCTTGTTTCCTTGAACAGAGCATTAGTACTGATAGCAAGAATATCATAATTTTCATTAAAAAGTCCTGTTTTGAGGAAGCCCATACAAAGATTACTTGACACATTTCATTTTGAAATTGTTACTTTTCACCTGAAATAAATAGTGACACATTTCATAAACAGTCGTCTTAGGTAACGTTGTCACTACCTAATCAAATTATGGGCAACTTAGGATCATAAACCTGCTACTTTGAAATAAATTTTCTAACAAAAAGAAAAATCTTTGATTTTTACAAGCCCACCCATGCCAATAGAAACACTTGACATTTTAACTCCTAGCTTGATACTGTTTCTCAGTTACGTCCTTAATCTATACTTGTTTTCAGGACTTGCTAGAAAGAAGTACATTATTCATGATTATAAAATCTGGAAAAACACTGGTATAAATGAATTGCAAAGTCACTTGAGGTTTACATGAGCTGCATACTTTTGAACTGACAGCTCGGCCCCGTAGTCCCACCGAAATGCTTCATTTCTCCATTGAAGTGGCCACTATCGTTAACCCTACCAGACACATGGAAAAAAAGAAAAAAAAAGAAAAAAAAAATCAGGCAAGGTCTATTGACCTAACCTGCATCCAGGCCAATTTCAGCAAGTATTATCTTTTTCAAGAATCTGATATAAATGTGAAGAACTAGTAACATTTCTCATACCACTACATTGGAATATAAGTGTGCTGATTAATGGTTTCATTCTTCTGAGGGATTACTTGTTGATTAACTGAGCTTGTGGACTTATTTACATGTGCGGTAGTCACTGGAAGAGCATTTGCTGTGAAAGGATTTTGTGCTGTGTTTGTGTGGAAGTTTGCCATGTCCATTTGTGCCATGGTTGGTGTATTGTTTGATGTTGTGTATGAATGAGTAGTTGTTTGTGAAGAAGCAGAGGTCTGTGGTTGCTTAACTACTGAATTAGATTGGATACAATTGTTTATCTGATTTCCTGTGGTAACAGTTACAACTACATATGACTGTTGCTGGTTATATAATGGCTGACTTGTGTTGGAAATATGCTGATTAGCAGAACCGAGTGGACGGGACATATGAGTTTGTGGGAAGTGTTGTGATGTCAGTGGTGGCACAGAATTTGCTACATAAGAGTGTTGTGTTTGTGTAGAGAATGATGTAGGAAAACTTTGTCGAGAAGCCAATGTATTACTTGGTGCTGTAGATGAAGTTGGTGACCAGGTATACTGGTAAGAAGAAGGTATGGTAGGCATGTGTGTATATGGACAATATTGATTCGGTGCTGTGCTGGCACAGGGGACGGGTAGTGGGTGGAGCCGGGGCCGCCTTGCCTCACTGGTACATGGTATGTTGATTAAAGCCACCAGGAATGCCTTGCTGTTGCTGCAACATATTTTGTTGGAATTGCTGTTGATGGTTATGCTGTGGAGTGGACATAGGTAGTGGCAACATTGGACCCAAAGACACATAATAAGGATTGTGCAAATTTAGTGGTAGTGGAGGAGCAGCCGTTGGTGCGGCTGATGTTCCTGGAGGTTGGTGAGGTGGAGGTTGCATGGCTGGTTGTCCCTGGTGTGAAGTTTGCAAGTTGAGAGGCTGCTGTTGCTGGTGGTGTGGCTGCTGTTGCTGCCCAAGACCAAAGAGTATGTTTGGTTGAACCTGCTGCGTCATGTACGTAGCTAAGGAGTTGTGAAGTGTAGAGGTCGCACCCATAGTGGCCATTGATGATACAGGTGTGGATGAGGTATCAACACCAAGGTTCATCAGATTGGGCTGAAACATAAAAGAAAAAGTGATGGAAATTTATTCAAATAAATGGTAAATATATGCTATCCTTTCCCTACCAGTAATCTCTAATTTCTCCTGCATCCATTTCTCCATCTGGTTTATCAATACCACAAAGTTCCCTTGTCTCTCATCACAAATTTACTTTCCTAGAAACATTACTATACTATTTAACTTTTCCACTCCCAATTTTCTATGTTTGCTATCTTCATCTAATAGGATTTTTCCTGAATCTATCTATCTATTATCACATTTCAAAATCATAAACTCTCTTTTCTGTGTAAAACACGGAAAAGGGTTCTATTAGTCAGACTTAGCCCTGGTTCTTTGGACACCTTCAGTAACCTAGCTTCCTGTACTAGTTACTATGCAATTACACTTCACCAGATATCTTGGCTGGCTTCAAGATGTTCTGAATGTGATGACTGCAGAATAATATTACACAAAATTATTAGAGGATCACAGACCACAGATCATTTATGTCTACCAAAAAAATAGAAGGACCTAGGCAAAGAACACTTCCACAGATTATAAAAAAAAAAAAAAAAAAAAAAAAAAATCTGAGACAACAGGATGATTATCCCTGACTTGTGTCCGGCTCCAGTGTCAGAAAGGGTAAGTGGAACTTCAGCTAACCCCTTGGATTTGGTTGCTTTATGGCAATGGCATGACCCAAAATAAGGGCATTAAGCTTAAATGAGGGGCCACTCTGATGGGTGCACAGCTTGTAGGCCAGGCAAACGCAAGGGGTGACAAGACTATGCTTACTCTTTGTAATGTTATTTTCTCTTTTAATGTATAAGCATTTAAATTTTTTTTGCCGTTTTCCAATAACCATATTCATCATATGATTTGCTTGATCCAGATGGTAACCAAATGTTTATCTCACAGGCTCCATATCATTCCTCTAGGTAATTTGCAATTCAATGCAAGAAAAATAAAAATAAATAACATTTTGTTATTTGTATCATTCAATTTTTCTGGCTGTAATATTCACAGTCAATTTGCATGGTTGACGGCATGTTCACGTCACCTGGGCAGTTGCCCAAGTTTTTCATCAAGTTCATATTACCTAGGCCCGAAGCCAGAATTTCCCATGACAGTATGCTCATGTCACCTAGCCCTCAAACCAAAATTTTTCAAGCCATGATGGTCCTGACAACCAGATCAAAGGGGTTAACCTAAGACAGTCCATAAGAGTTCTTATTTTTGTCTCTAGAATTCATCTATAAGAGATTCTATCCATACATTTATTAGTTCTTGAGGAAGGCAATATTCTTTATTGGGTTTAGGGTGGGACTGATCACAATACAGTTTAGTCATCAGTGAGATCTGGGATGGTACACTTCATCTGGGTTTAAAAAATGTTTATACCAATATTTTTTCATCACCACATTAGTATTTTTGTGTTCAATGGTGCATGAGAGATATAATTAAATGTAAGCCTGAAAAGAATCAAATAATATTACTCAAATCATAAGTCAAGTATCATGACTTATCACCCATGATCAAACCCTGCCAGCAACAAATTTCCATTACTGAATGCCAGGAAAGTATCCCTGAGGGAATTCTTGGGGATCCTGAAGTAGACAAGCCTAGTGTGACTGCCCCTTCTGCTGTCTCTTGTTTGTAGAGTATTACAGAGTTTTCTATGTAAACTATGTAAACAGAGAAATCTAACAAAGTGATTGGGAACATGAACAAAGGATGACCATTTCTACTAATATCAGTAGCCTAGTTTCAGCCTTACCTGGTATCCCCCTGGTGCTGTACTTGCTGGTGGATGTGGTGATGCAGCTATGATAGTTCCTGGAGGAATGGCAGTGCGACTCATATCTTGAGGTCCACCATTATTGAGAGCATGGTTGTTCATACTGTAGTCCTGTGGCATCGCCTGGCAATAAACACCAGTAGTAAATTAGAAGGTGCTGTTATCTCACTGTTTGTAATATAGAGGACTAGTTATTCCTCCACTCTGATCTATATCTCATCACAAAAGTGAAATGTAAAACACAATGCCAGCTACAGCAAACAATGAAAACTGAAACATGTATACCCATACATATGAAAATTTCTTCATCTCTAGTACAGTGGTTTGAGGCTGCATGGGGAGATTCAGCAGTGTGAATATTTTTTTGTTTTTGTCACCCCCCCAAAAATATCTAAATGGCAAATACATTTATAGCTGGCATTGGTATGTTTGATTTATATCGCTTAGACGAAAATACACATGATTTTAATGTTTTTGTACATTCAAAGATGCATGATAAGCATTTTAGTTGCTTGATCAAACCTGCAGTAGCCTAATTATGTACATTATGAGTCCATTTCAATATATAAGATATGTTACACTCTATGTACATGAATGCATGTTTTTTGTTTGAAGGATGAATTTGTTTTTAAATCGCTCAATTCTGAAAATCTTATTTTTACAAAATATGAGATTGTATGAAGTGATATACAAGGCTGTTGCCACCACAACATTGGTACTTCCCTTATTTGCGTCATATTTCAAGAGTCATGCTGTAGTGGGCACCAAAAGACAACATGAGTAGTTGACACAAGGAGACAGATCTCATAAACAAGAGTGAAGGTTACTTACAGGTTCACATCAACAGTAAGAGGGCATCATGTTTTAGTGCATGGCACTCCTTCCAATGCTGTGCATTATCATGACAGTAATAAGCTTATCATGTTTAGTTTAGCTTTTCCCCCCCTCTCTCTTTTTATTTATCTATTTATTTATTATTTATTTATTATCATTTTTTTTTTTTTTTTTTTTTTGGGGGGGGGGTTATAAATAATAATATAAACACTTGCACTGCACTTTTGGCACTTCATCTTGTTATCACTATAAATACATAATTATCACCAAAGAAAGGTTTATGGTAATAGAGCATGGAATCATTATAACAGAGTCTGTTTACAGCTGTACACACTGAACATATGTGCAATTATTTGACCCTGCCTACAGTTGTGGAGAAACAGCCCCTCAAAGTATGCTTAAAGCTTCTTTTTAGCCTTCTTACCAAAACTATCATAATGCTGAATGTTTACTAAGCTTCTAATTTTTCCCTCAAGCAATTGCCTCTATGCACCAGAATGTGTTATTTGGTAAGGCATCTTAAGTGGGTCAAAAAAGCAGAAAAATGAATTGAAATAATATATCCTTCAACTTGTTGTCAAACTTTCCTTTTTAATTACTATTAATACCCATATAGTTATGTATAATGTTTAATACTTGCATAATGATTTAATTGTGTACAAATCACAGAGGTCTAATTACTTAGGTTTTAGCCATTGACACAATGCCTCCGAGAGAATTTCAGGTGCACTGGGGAGTATGTATGGACAACTGGGCTTGCTTTCGGAGCCTATTTCAGATTTGGCTGGTGCTTCAAACACACTGTGACTCATCAACAGTGATGTGATTTTTTTTTTGTGTAACTTACATGCAAATGTGATTTTAATGTTTTTTTGAAAGATGCGTAATATTCTTTTTAGTTGCTAGATCTAGCCTAAAGTAGACAGATTATGTACATATAAGTCCATTTCAGTCAACTAGGTTTGTTACACTGTGTAAAATACGGAATGTGGTTTTACTGAAGGATAAAAAAAAGAATTTTCTTTAATTTTTGCAAATCTTACTCTTTCGAAATAAGGGAATGTATGCAGTTATATACCAGGTTGCTACTCCCATAATTCTACTCAGCCACACTAGTAGAGTGGTATATAACAATGTCAAAAGTTGACAAGAGCTGAAATAGCAGGAATAGAGTGCAATGCTTTGGTGCATGACATCTTCCAGGGATAGCTGGCAAATAATTTATGTGCTAAATATTACTCTTTTATACTACATAATAGCCAATAGGAGCATTACACATCCTGTTCTCCCTTAAGCCATGCCCTAGGGCATGTGTGGGCCTGAGGATACCATATAAAGAACAGCTTAAAATGCAAAGCATGCTGAACTGTATTTCCAGGATTGCAGATACCTACATTTTGTTTCAAAATTGTGTTTTCTTTCCTAAGCCATGTTTTACATCCCCTAAGTTAATTAGGACTAGTATGACTCTTGATTCTACTTATAAATGCTTAAATGTCTTTTGATGAAAGGCAAAAAAAAATCACTGTCTGAACTATCATATGAAGAAAAAATTATTGAAAGAATAATGTGTTGGATCCCTTACAGCTGTGACCAGACTGACCTGCTGTTGTTGTGGAGGCGGTGGAGCAGGAGGCTTCGGCTTAGGTGCCTTTTTCTTTTTCTGGATCATAACGCTCTCTATACTACGTCTTAGGTCTCCGATGTGACGTTTACATGCATTGTATTCAAATGTCTTGAATTCATCTAAAAATATTTTTCTATATAACCACTGTTTCACTTTAGGTTTATATTCTCTATTAGGATCTGGAAAAGAACAAAAAACAATATCTTGAACACATAAATAAATTCCAATAAGCATATTTAAATCACAGTACATTATATATCAATACCCAATAACAACAAACAAAAAGGAAAGAAAATTCCTCTGAATCGACCTGATATTCTTTCTCAGGGATTATATTCTCTTCCAGTAAAAACTAACCATTGCTGGGAGGTGGTTCAAATGCTTGTGGTTCATGTTCCTCCAGATAAGATCGATGCATTTTGGAGATGTCAACATCAATCTGCCCATTCTTTTGGTCGTTCTTGCAGAAGGTAGGGTAATCATGATTAGAGAGGAGCTTTAGCATGTGCTTCTTCATCTGCAGAACCGTGTCCTCTGGCGTCTTTTTTGACATCTGATTTTTGTTCCTGGAAGTTTCATTTGCATTGTTATAACCTAACGCTCTAAAAGTTCTCGATAAAAGCTCTCATGTCTAAACTACAGTTTGATCACTTACAAAACCAAGCTGATGTAAGAAACCACAATGGCATCAGTGTTGTCAGGTTACCTTTACACTTTGCTCGTATTATACTTAGTTTCAGTTTCTTGGGAAAAGGATCAATGCAAATACATGGGGAAAAACTGAAACTGTGACATGAAAATATGTATTCAATATAATCAAGGGGAAGACATGAAAAACAAATATCATTGGGTGAGTACTGAAAATATTCTTTCACAAACAGGCTTAGAGTTTGTAATAAATAGCCTTGTTAATTAATACTATAAGTATTATCATCCCCTTAATAATGGTATCAAATTATAGTAGTTGGTGTAGAAATGCTATATATCATAATATAATAATACCCATAATAATATTAGACTACTAACAACATCTGCATCATTTCCAATAAACCTTAATAATGGAAAATATGCTCAAAATAGCCATCAATATGGTAATATAAAATACCAATACAAATAGAGAGGATGAACATAATAAGAAAAATAATGATAAACTTAAAAATGAGTGATACCTGAAAAAAAAAGCAAAAACACCTAATAATTATTGCTCTCACGGCAATAACAATAATAACAACACAAAAACAACACCACTAATAATAATAATAACAATAATAACAATGATGATAACTCTGATGATAATGGTAATGATGATGATAACTTATGCCAATAATAATATAAATGTTATAACAATAATATTTGTAAGTTATAGCCATTAAAAATGAATATGAAAGTGATAGCACTAACTTTCAGAAACTTGTAATAAGTATAATCATTATCAAATAACAATATTACCAATAATAAAACAACAATAAGAATAAAAAACAACAATAATAATAAAAATAATAATAATAATAATAATAATAATAATAATAATAATAATAATAATAATAATAATAATAACAACAACAAAAATAGCATAAATAATAATAATAGTAATAAAAAAAAAAAATAATAATAACAATGGCCCCAATAACAATAAGGATAACTGATAACTTATAATAACAATAATGATAATAATAACAATATATAATAGTCATAAAACATAATAATTAATAATAATAAAACAATAACATTAATAGGGATAATAGGAAAAATAATAATTAATAGTAATCATAATCAATAATTAAGAGTAATAATCATAATATTAATGATGACAATGATGATGATGATGATGATGATGATGATGATTGATGATGATTAAGATATATAATAATAATA